TTTTAAACTGGGAGGGGTTTGGCAGACCTGCCAACTTTTTAAGTAAAGCCCCAAATACAATTTTTATAGGAATTCTCCCAATTTTTAAACATTGGCAGGTAATTTAAAATGTTTTCTTTTTTAAAGGTCAGATGGAGTCAAACAAACCAGGTCTGTGGATGCTGGCATGAACCTTCAAAGGCACCTTGGTCAAGAGAAAGGATTCTCCCTGGAGCTGCCGGGTAAGTGTGACTGCGTCTGGGGCTGGCTCTTGGATCAGGAGGGAACCAGGGAAAGCAGGGCCTTGCCCTCATGTCTTGAGGGCTCCGCCTCCCTCCCGGCATCTGCACGTGCTTCCTCTAATTGGGACAGGGCGGCGGGACGGTGCGGAAGGCAGCATTGTGGGGAGTGACAATGCCCTCTCTGCTAAGTCAACGTTTCATAAGCCAAATCTGACTGCCACTTTCCGTCACCTTCCATCTGTTAGGCTATTCTCGCCCCATCTAGATGACAATGATGACGTTAGCTCAAATATAACTCCTGCTCACTCTGCCCCACTGTTCTAAGCGTGTGTGCATACTTTAAGTCATTTTATCTTCACAAGACTATCTCAGCCCAAAGTGCATTTTCCTGGGTCCACACATGGATTAAGCCTCTGGTGAATCCCCTCGCTTCCTGGTTGCGAGAGTTGAATAGCCCTGTTATCAGACAGAGAGCACTGTAAGTGAATCATAGCAGACATCTCAAATTCACTGCCATTGAATTAATGCAGACTCCAAGAGACCCTGTAGGGCTGAGTAGAACTGCCCCTGTGAGTTTCTGAGACTGTCACTCTTTACAGGAGTAGAAATCCCTTTTCCCCCAGAGGAGTGGCTGGTGGTTTCCAATTGTTTCCCTTGTGCAAACAGAACACAGAAAAAATGCATGCTTTGAAAATCAGGACAGGTGTGTCAGGGCTGTGTCCTCTCACCATACTTATTCCGTCTATAAGCTGGGCTATATGAAGAAGAATTCCTCATCAGGATCAGAGGAAGGCTTATTAACAACCTGTGACATGCAAATGACACAACCTTGCTTTTTGAAGGAAGTCTTGAAGCATTCGCTGATGATCCAGGGTTTGCGGTCTTCAGTATTGATTGCAACTCAATGTAAAGACAAAAATCCTCTAAAAGGGGCCCATCGATAACATCATGATCAATAGAGAAAGGATGAAAGTTGTCAATGATTTTGCCTTGCTTGAATCCGGTGGAAGCTGGCAGGAAGAGATCCATATTAGTACCCATTCCAAAGAAAGGTGACCCAACAGAAATCAGTCACAAAATCAAATGATGTGTTGCAAGGGCCAATGTGCCACACACGACTCCTTTAGATGCCGAAGAGCCAGGGGGCCTGTCACTGTGAGGACTAAGGTGTGCCTGACCCAAGCCACGGTCTTTTTAATCACTTCCTATGCTTGTGTAAACTGGACATTGAATAAGGAAGGCTGAAGAAGAATCAACGCGCCGGCATGCCGGTGCTGGAGAAGAATATTGAAAATACCGTGGACTGCCAAAAGAACAAACAAATCTGTCCTTGGAGTTCAGGATGATGAGACATGAGACATGTTGTCAAGAGAGCCCAGTCCCTGGAGAAAGATAGCATGCTTGGTAAAGTGGCAGGGCAGGGAGAAAGAGGACAACCCGGCAGGAGATGGATTGACACAGTGCTGGCCACAGTGGGTTCAAACATAACAACTGTGAGGATTTCATAGGACTGGGCAGTGATTCTTTCTGCGGCACCCTGGGTCACTATGATCTGGAACTGGCTCCATGGTACCCAAGCACAGCCGTGAGTCAGAAGAGACTTGACAGCCGTGAGAATCTGCATGGCAGCCAGTAGACAGGGCTTTCCCCCGGAGCTGTTGGTGGCACCTTTGGATTGGCAGCCAAGCACTTACCCATTGAGCCACCAGGACTCGTGGCAGAGATTAAGGCTGGGACAGACTAGATCCATTGAGCCAATGCTGAATTTTCCATACCAGGAAGCCGAGGTCCACAGGGGAACTGCCCAAAGTCACAGCACTGTGTTCTGACAGAGCTGTGGTGAGCACATGGGCTTCCTGATGCATGACCGCCCCTGGCCGGGTGTCTCACCTCTAAAGTAGCATGCCATCCATTCATCTTGTGTATCCTATTGACCCCAAGCGAAACCTTATCCGAGAGGCTGCCGGGCTGCAGCGGGATCCAGCTGGATTCTCCCGGTCTATCTCAGGATAATTGCTGCGCCAGGGCTTTGCTGAAATATGATGGGGGAAGGATTATGGGTTTGGCTCTTGGATTGTGTGAAAGCACATGGAAGAAGCACATTAATATTGGTCAAGGGTTGGAAGGACTCTGAGAAATTGAGATAAGTTTTGCTGAATTGAAGTTGTCCTGAGAAGCATTCAATTTATTGTGAGGGAGTTGCTAAAAAAAAAGAAAAGGTGATTTGTTAAAAAGTGTATTTAAAGAATAAAAGCCTGAAGACTGAATTTCCTACAAGCGCATCCTGCTGACGTAATGAGTTACTGCTGCCTGTACAAAGTGCAGATCTGTGTTTTCATTATGTTCCCCTCTTTGTTAGGTTTCGCAGTTAGTCCTCATTACACGTTGCTCCTGTCTTTTTTTTTCAACTTCATGAACTCTGGTATTTCATTTTGAAGATGTATAACCAAGGGAAAAGTAGTCTTCCTTCGATCTTCTTTTAGCCCCATGATATTGAACCTGAGAAAGACGTGGACGTTTCCATCCCACGCTGAGCAGACACAATGAGTGGGTGCTCCGCTTGTTGACAACACTGATGCGTTAGGAGCGAATTCCGCATCCAGCTGACTTAGCAGCGAAAAACAACAACAGAAACTGCATTCTTCTGAATGGAATTCCCATCTGCCTTCAGCTGAGAGAGACAGAAGGTCCAGGGGATGGAATGTGTTGCTCTCATGAAGAAATCCGTTAAGCACGAGCTATTTAAACTGGAGAGGAGTTTCCAACTTCAAAATCACTGTCAATTTTGGTTGCCCATATGGTAGTCAAGTTGCATCTGTGCGAGTTCTGTCTCCCAGAGCTGAACAGACAGTCTCTCAAAAGCACCCCCAGCTTCCACTTTGCCTTGTAACAGCATCTGCAAGATGGCAGTGAACCTCGTCAACTCCAGCCTTCGGACCAGCGATTCTCAGATGGGGATGGGGTGGGGGGTGGGGGGGAGAGCTGCCATGCAGGCAGCACCAGCAAAACCAGACAGAGCTGCTTTCTTCTGCTCCTTCTCCAAAATAGTTTTCAGAAATCTGTCCATCCTTGAAATAGCTCTTGAAAGCAACTGACCTACAGGTCTGCTGTAACATCGACGTTAGCCTTAACATGAGAAGGGAAGGGCAATAAAAGAAATCCAATGTTAGCCCGTCAGGATTTTCAATTCTCTCACACCCACGATGCGGAGGAAGATTATTTTTCTCATGGAAACTCCGATGCGAATGACGGCACCTGCTAGAATCAGTAAGGCTGACGTGTTACTTAATTCACAGCGAGGCGACAACCTGACTGGACTGTGATGCGTTCCAGCGTTTAGCTATCATTTATAGGTTCCCAGGAGGCTAACAACCTCAAATAAGGGACCATTATCTTTTGACAAAAGATGAAGATCTTTTCCTGGGGGGAAGGGAAGGAGCGAGGGAGAGGCACACGACCCACAAAACACAGCTCGGTACTCTGTAGGGGATTGTTAGATTCCTAATGGGTCTTTGCTATCCTTTACTCAAACGACATGTGTGGATTCCCATGTGAGATGCTAGAGGCAAATAAACAAAGACTCACAACCCCCCCCAACCCCCAGTCATGCATTGATCCACTCCGTACCATCTCTTGAGTGAGGCCCTGTCGGAGACTGCACCGTGGGAGAGTGGGGTTTGCTGAAAACAAGGCTAATACTCAGCCTGTACAGACTGGCATGGTTGCAGTTTTTGTGGGTTTTTTAAAAATAATCGGTAGCTTTTCTGATAGGTTGCCACATCTTTTCTGATTGGTTGGTGTCAATACTCAAGACTCGAAGGACAGTGCCAAAGGGCACAACCATTTTGAAGGTTCTTAACATGTCCTTCTTCGGAAAGGCTGTACTGATTTCCCACTTCTGAGATGGAAGGATCGCTTTGGGGCTCAAGACACATCAAGGAAATAGTGGCCTTTGAAGCCAAGACTTCAGAGATGGGTGGAGTTCTTCCACAGCAGGGCGGGTGGAGGTTCATGAATGGAGCCCTAGGGAGGTGTGTATCCAAGGGGAATGAGGAGCATTTCCGTGGAACTCTTTTTGTGTATCGAGATACTTTGAATGCTAGAATTTGGGGAAGAACATTTAAGGGAATCAGAATATTCTAAAAATGGGTTCAAAACATGAAATGAGTCCACAGTAATGCCAAGACAATCACCATTGCAATATAATTTCTTGTTCCCTCCCTTTTCATGTTGCTTGATTAGAATGGTTTATGAATGTCACCATTGTCTCTTATACATTAATAGACATCGTTCTCACATAGTCTAGGAAATACACATACTGAAGGTGCAGCATGAAGCCATCCTATGTTGCCTATCACTATGTCTCCTCTTGACAGAGCTCCCAAGGGTGATGTAGTATCACAGCAAAGTGAGTGGAGGCCTTTGGGTTTAGGAGCCAGACTGCTGGTCAAATTCCAGTTTTATACCATGTTATTGGGCGTGTTCTTTTGGGCAAGTTACTGATAATTCTTTATACCTCATCTACCTTAAAGTAAACAGGCTAATAATGTTGTTTACCATCATACAGTTATGTGGAGCCTTAAAGGAGCTAGCTTTGTGCATACCCTCAGTACTTTTATATGTATTAGCTTTGTTGTACCAGCTGCAGGTGGACCCACAGGTAAAATTTGGCAGCAAACACACAAGGCACTTACAGCAGCATCCCATGCACGCAGACTCAGGGAATTAGCAACTGCCTCCTTCCCAACTATTTCCAAAACTACAACAAAGGCCCAGGTATCAGAGTGGGAGCATTTTTTATTGGGGTTCACTCCACTCATGAAGTTTATCCTTATAAAATATAATGACGGTTGTAGGCATAAATAGGAATTGTTCTCAGTCTTCTGCTTTTATAATGCACAGTCCTTTGGGTTGGCTACAAATAAGCAAAGTAGGAAGTTAAGGTGCGGAGAATTTCAAGTCCATATCAGTGGTTTCAAAAAAGATGGAATTCTAGTACTAATGGCACATAAACAGATGTTTCACATGTGGAACCAGCCACCTTGAAAAGGTTCTGAAAAATATGGTTGAAACTTTAGAAAATATAGAGCTTTTAATATTCCAAAAAAGCCAAAAACAAAGCAACAATAATAAGAAGAAAATGTTGCTTGTCAGCCCAGCTTGGCAGGACTGGGCTCTGTGAGAGCTGACGGGCCCTGGTGAAGTAGTGTCGTGTGCCACGTGTCCACGGTCTCAGACGCAGACAACATCACACTGGATTTGAGCCCAGGCGTCCTTCCCTGCTGGGTGACTCTCGAAGAGACGCCTTTGCTGTTCTTACGCATTTGGTCTCACAATCTTCATCGACAGATAATTCTGCAGAGGAAACAAACAGCGGTAAATGATGTGCTTTAGTTGGAGTTTCTCAACCTTGGCACCATTGACTTTTGGCATCAGATCATTCTTTGCTGCAGGGGTTGTCCTGGGCACTACAGAAGTCCCCAAATGCCCCCTGGGGCTTAGAATCAACCCCAGTTGAGAATCGTCATCAACAATCTGAAGAGTTTTTTCAATGTTCAAGGCAAATTAGACTGCCTATAGCAAGAAAGGATCAAGTGTGTGTGCTTTTAAAAGATGGAAGCACCCTGGGCCCGAACTACGCTCTACAGTGGCTCTGACTCTGGGTCAGCACGAGGCAGCCTGCACTGTTTGGAAGACGAACTGGAGTAAGAGTCTCTGTGCATCTACTGCGGCTGTCGGTGCCATCACCCAGGGCTTCCTCAGCCTGGACGACCTTCTCCCCCTGGCAAACCGAGCTGGAACACCCCCTCCTGGGTACCACCCTCGTCAGCAATGGCCTCCCTTGATCGTCTATCTCTTGGTCCTTGGACTCTGAACTACTCGTGGACAGAAGTCATGCTTTGATCCTTTCTATGTGACCTTCCACCCATTGCCACCCCAATCCCCCCTTTTGTCTTCTGCCATTTTGTCTTCTGATTCATGGTGACCTCATGTCTGTCACAGTAGAACAATGGGATTGTCAATGGCTGATTGTTCAGAAGCAGCTCTCCAGCTTTCTGTTCTAAGGTCCCTTTGAGTGGACTCAAACCTCCAACCTCTCAGTACCTACTGGAGTGTGTTCACTGGGCACCCCAGGGCTCCTCTGAATCACTAGCTCCTAGCGTAAGGTGACCAGATTTTAACATTGGTAAAGCGGGACACCATTGATAAAACTCATAGCCTGGTGAAATAGCCACATGACCGCTGAAAACCGTATACCCTAGCTTGTTGTGCATTCTTTCCAAAAATCGGGACTTTTAAAAAATGCTGCGGGACACGGGAAAAATTGTTAAAAATCAGGACTGTCCCGCCAAAAGTGGGACGTCTGGTCACCTTATCCTAGCCATCGAGCGAAGACTCAATGTCATCCTTGAAGGGAGGGGTTCCAATGCTGCTCCGAGGCGGCTGGCAAATCTCCCATTTGGATTCCCATTAATGTTTGGGATGAATAAGAGAAATTGGAGGAGCAGGCAGGTGTCACTTAGGCCTTAAGAAATGGGTACAATTTTGATAGATCAAACACAGGGAAGAGAATCACATTGGCAAAGGCATCCCGGTAAGAATGGGTGATGGGTGTTTGAGGGAGCAACAAACTAGTTTGGGTGGAGTATGTCGTCTGCATAGACCTCTAAATGGGCCCTGAGACTTGGTGCGCAGGGCCTGAACCCTAGAACAAGGCGTTAGGATGCAGGATGGTTTGGGACAAGGTCTGAAGGCAAGATCGATGGGAAAGGTAGCCTAAAATGTGGGTGAAGGTTAATAAAAGTCTGGATCGTTTCTCTTCGAATCCGTGGAACCAAAGTTCCTTCCAGCCCACCAAGTCTGCATGCAACTTGTGAAATGCCCGGAACGTAATTTAGAGGGGCAGGTGTGTTACTTTTAACGTTCCAAAGGCTAAAACGTCTCGAACCCTCAAAGCGACGTGAGACATTCTGCCGGAGGGCACTAAAGACAAATGACAAGTTAGACAACCGACCACAAGGCGCAAGCAAGCCGAGCCAAGAGACTAGGGGGCCTTACCGGTAAGGAGTACAGGAGCACAGCCAAGAAGAGCAGCAGGATCAACAGGATCAGCAGGCCGATGATGACCCACTTAAACCGCCGCCACACGATGAACTTCATGGTCTTACACGGGTTGGTGAACCAAAGGAAGGAGGTCTCTGGTCGGCTGCATTGGAAAGAAAGAATAGTACTTTTCTAACTTGGGGGGGTGGGGATGGGGGGAGCACATAATTGATCTCAGAGCATAGCACAGTTCAAAGAATAATTAATAGCATTCATAGGGTCAAGGAAACCATGATTCTCTGTAGCTGGCTGAGAAAGGCACTTGAACGTATTACCATTTCCTAAACTCCAGAAGACACAATGCACTTGGTTTCATGGGAAAGAAGAGTCGTTAAAGGGAGTCCATTCACCCACCTCCTACCTCCCACTATTAAGTACAAAATTAAAAGGCCAGCAGCTAATCCACTCCATTAAACCAATTGGAGGTGGGGGTGAGGAAGGGGCTTTCAGACTGCGGGTGTCTGGGGAGCAGACAAAGAAGGCCTCTCACTTTGGTGGGTCTAGCTTGGGGTTCATGTTGGGTTCATCTCGTCCCTTCCCGGCTGGCCTCTCGTCGGCCTCCTTGTCGTTGAGGATTTCCAACGTCATCTCCACTTTCCCCTTCAGTAAAGCAGAACAGGTTAAACACATGACATCACGTTTCACAAATATTTTTATTTCAACCCAAGGAGTATTCCCTGAGCAATGATTTTTACTCTTGTAAAACAATCCTTAGATTGCCTTAAATTTTCCCCAGGAGATTTCATCACATTTCCTCTTCCATGTGTTTCTGAACAGGCTCCGGGTGGGAAACGGAGAGGACAAATTGCTTCCCCTCCTGCGTCCCTTCCATTCCGCCCTTCTTACATCAATCTCCTGGCCTCTCACATACCTTCCTTTGTGACTGTACGTCCAGGTTCACCAGAATAGCACTACAAACGCCACCTAGCATTTACTGATCGTGCACATCAGCTCTAAGTGCATGGGGCCTTATCACATTGTACCCCTACTGTGTGCTGCTGCCTTGTCGCCTGGTTCATGAGTGAGATGTTAGGCACTCCTGTGAGGCTGTTGCATGGGTAACCTCATGTAGCTCTCATGGCAACCCTACAAAACACTGAGGCTATAAGAGGTGTGCACTGGTTACACTTCGAATGGGCTCAATGTATTGGTTGTCCAACATACCTCAACATTGCTTTGAAAAATGAGATTATGAGATTATGTGCGGAAGGCACTTTGTGTCTTGCCTGGCTCATAATTAGTGATTAAAATAGCAATACATAATGAATTAGAGCGTCTTTCGTGACATGCTGTGATAACTCATACTTTTGCTTCTACATGAAAATAGATCCTAAGTCAGCCAAACTTGCTTGTGAATGCTCACTGACTCATGCCCACTTTTTAAAAATATAAACAAGTACACCTCCAATTGGAAGTTCCTTTTTTTTCTGTGCTGAATTGTAAACTCGTCATAAGTCAAACCTCAGTGAGGAAGGGTCCTAAAGGAATACAATGCAATCACTTCACATCCTAGTTTCTGGACGAGTCTAACCTTCTCAAACCCTTTCCCCAGCCGGAGACATACACCAGCGCCTAACATCTCTGGTAATCCCAGTTACAAGCCATCCCCACCAAATCAACACGTCTTTCATTGATCTGGTTTAATCTACTGATAAAGGACAACATCTGATCAAAGGAATGAATGATCCCCAACCAAGAAGCACTCACAGCCATCACTCGGGAGCCATCTTTATCTGCGTAACATGGCCACCATCCTCGCATGGACTTCTGCTCAAAGAGCGAGGCTGTCTTAGCTTTAAGGGGGTCCATGGCTCTGAGATCCGGAATCATGTCCAAATGGCATTTCTCTGATGATTTTGCTGGAACGATGGTGCGATGCAAATCAAGTTCCAGGAAACCTGGTCAAGGGCACAACGTAAACCCTCAATAAGCTTCAAAGGGATCGGTCATCATTCATTAGTAAACAGATTGTTCTTGTTGGAGGACAAGCAGACAGTGATTTTGACCAGGTGACAGGTGAGGTGGTGGACGTGTAAAGTCCTTTCCAGACAGGATGGAAAACAGCAGAGGAAATACTGTCCACTGCTCAGTATCTGACAGACAAGTACATGTTCTCTTTCTCAAAGACAGGAGCATAAGCAGTTGTTCTATAAGCTCAAAGTACTTAAACATCTATAGACAGAGTTTCCACTCAACTGAAGGCCCTTGGATTTGAAATCTGCTCAGGTTGGTGAGGATCGGCCCTGAAAAGAGAGGTCACTTGGCTTTGAACAAAGACAGCTGGTTCTTGGAACACTGGGAAGCTCCACATACCTTCAAGTATCTCTTAAGGTAAACTTGGGGTACAGGCGCTTGCAGAGGAACCAAAAACCAAACTCGCTGCCAGCAAGTCGACACTGACTCCTCGAAACACCCTGTGGGTTTCCGAGGCTGTAAGACTGCTTAGGGGAGTAGGAAGTCCAGTCTTTCTCCCAAGGAGCTGCTGCTTTCGTTCTGCTGACCATGCAGATCCCAGCCCACCACGTGACCCCCACATCACTAGAGCTCCTTTGCAAAGGGATGTAACTGGCCAGATGCAAAGTTCTCACCAGGAACCGGGAAGTCCAGCTTAGGGTTCTTGCAGAGGCATGTCTTGTCTGTCTTGTTGGGGCCCTAAATGCTTTAGGACCCCATTAAAAAAAAATCATTGGGGCCCTCAAAGTTCTTACCACAATCCATCCATCCATCCATTGTGACAAACACATTTGTACATATGCCATCATCATTTTCAAAACATTTTCTTTCTATTTGAGCCCTTGATAGGAGCTCATTTCCCCCCTCTCCCACCCTCCCTCCCTCATAAACCCTTGATAATTTATAAATGATTATTTTTTTCATGTCTTACGCTGACCAATGTCTACCTTCATCCACTTTTTTGCTGTCTGACCCCCTGGGAGAGGTTAGATGTAGATCATTGTGATTGGTTCTTCCTTTCTTCCCCCACCTTCCCCTGCCCCTGCTGGTATTACTCCTTTCATTATTCGTCCTGAGGAGTTTATCTGTCCTGGATTCCCTGCATTGTGAGCTCTTTTTAAAACAGCTCTTATCACAATCTATATATATATATATATATATATTCATTGTGTTGAACACATTTGTACATATGTTGCCATCATCATTTTCAAAACATTTTTTCTACTTGAGCCCTTGGTATCAGCTCCTTTTTTTTTTTTCAGGACCCTATTTGTCAGGACTGTCTTTTGGGTGTGGGGCATGACAGGAGCCTTGCCTTAAGAAGATGCTCATTGTGATATGGGATCAAGACTATGGACCACTGGGAGGAGAATTTGGTCTTTGCCACGACTGCAAAGAAGAAGGGTGAGGCTGGTGGTAAATTCCCTTTGTCGGGCTCAGAAAATAGCCAAGGCCCAGGGAAAGGGTGGTATTCACTGTGCCTGCTTCTCAGAAGGCTGGAGGCAGAGGGGTGGGCCCGCCAGAAATGAACGACAAGCTTTGGGGATTCCAAGAACTGAATCTAAGTTTCCATTGCTCTCATGAATTCTAACTGTAATTCCTTAGAGAACTAAGTCTCACCCAAGTAGTCATCCAGAGAAAACTTGTCATTGTCCCATATCTGAATGATCAGTCGGGGTGGCATCCGAAATTCAGTTTGGTCGATACTCCAGAAATGCTCCTAAATCAACAAGAGGACACAGATAAGCCAAACGGTCCTGATTCCTGCACCCGAGACCCTCACCTTCAGCCCCCTGACACCCCAGCACCAAGGCATGCGGTCTTTTCTCTCATTTCTAGCTCCTGGGTGTCCCCTCCCTTTGTTCCCAGCCCAGCAACCCATGTGTATCCAGGGCAAGCGGGCTGCCCAGGAAATCTCACGGCCACCAGCTGGGTGACAAAAAGGATGTCCCAGGCAATTTCCAAACACAAGGTTTCCTGCCATGTTCCTATCAGTGTGAATTCCTGCTGCCTCGGGGCTGGTTGGGGAGTGATTTGATTTGCCCCCTGAGGGCCACTAGCACCGGATTCGGATTCGATTATCTTGCCAAAGCCAGGTTGTTCTGTGCTCACCCACAACATCACCTGCTGGGGTGTCACCTCTGCTCCGGAGACTTTGCTCACCCCACACAGATGCCTGCATGGAAGGGGCCTCTGGGGTCCTCGCCCAGCACACTGTCCCTTTACACGGGGGCCCAGGTTCCTCTCTTTTTGCCATGCAGATTTCTAAATGACCTGGCAATTGGAACTTGAAAAATAGTGCTGCCTTTTATCTGCTTGTGGTCCACTAAGACCCCCCCCCCCCAATCAGATCCCTTCCCATAAAGATTCATGGAGGAAGGACTGGGTAAAGAGTCTTCCAGGTTCTCGATTTCTGGTTCCTGACTCTGCCCAGACAATATTAGCTAAAATTAACACCACCTCCCTGGCCCAATTACATCTACATTCCTCTGGACCCGGCAGAAAGAGAATTCCCCTAATGCATCATGAATTTGGGGAACTGTTAGATGAGCGGTTCTCAACCTGTGGGGTGTGACCTCTTTGGGGGTAAAATGACCCTTTCACAGGGGTGGCCTGATTCATAACAGCAGCAAAATGACAGTGATGAAATAGCAACGAAAATAATGTTACGGTTGGGGGGTCACCACCACATGAGGAACTGTATGAAAGAGTTGAGGCATGAGGAAGGTTGAGAACCACTGGGCTAATTCGTCAAACAGTTGTGTCTGTTCATGAGAAGAAATTGGTTTCTCCACTGCAGAACAAGCATCCGCCTATTGATATAAGACCCTACATCTCTTGACCAGATCCTTCTCTGCTGCCAAGGAGACTCGCATTCCCTGGACTTGCTAAGTACCCAGAGAGCTGTCAAGAGCGGTGGGACCCTGGGTGAGTAGCTGCACCTCTGTGGGTCTCGGGTTCCCCACCTGCACCAAGAGGGCACTGCAGCCCATGACCTCTGAGGCCTTGAGAGCCACTGACATTCTATGAGTTTGAGGCCTCGGAGACTAGGGACATCCATTTCCGACGGGCGTATTCCAGAAAACTCACTTTTTTCGCAACAAGGCAGAGTTGTTCGGCTGGGAGGTAGTCAAAGGGGAAAACGAATCTCCAGTTAAAATTCCCTTCACCATCCAAGGACCTGTAGTGGACATCTGTTTTCTGTTTGTTTTCTTCATTGCCAGGAATCCAGCTGAAAAGCAGAAGAAAACAGATCGAGCCTCCTGTGATTGACAAGTCCTCTCGCTGCAGAATTGGGCCGTGAGTAGAGGAGGGGAGGGCGGGAGGATATAAATGCCCTGTTCTTGGGCAGGGTCCAGTTAGCTACAGAGCTGAGGGTGATTTATGGGGCGGGGCGGGGGGTGTCCTCAACTGCATCCAACACAGGTTTTAGCCAAATCAAATATAATTCCTCTAAAACCGAAGCAGGAAATCCTTTAGACTCCTGTTAGCAGGGATAAAGATGAAATTTTCTGGGAAACATCCACAAGGTCGCTTCTATTTTGGGTACGGTGAAGTTTGCTGGCTATGAGGTTAGGCTCCCTAACCATAACTCATTAGCTCCTGTCACCACCAGAGATAGGCTCAACGAACGTGCGTTCCCTCCAAATGTCAGCGTCTCCTTCCTCAGAGTTTTCTTAAACAAACAAGAAAGGAATGAATCAACTAAGCTGACAGCTTCCTCTTCTTTATTATTCTTAAACCCACTATGATTGGATTAATGAGACTAGCCAGGGAGAGTTCATTTCAGCCAACAGTTTACAAGTTAAGATCCAAAAAGTTAACCTTCCAAAACATTGAAAAAAAGGAAAACAGTTCCCTTTTACTTGAGCCTGGCACAGAGGAGACACTAAAGTAAATACCAGTTGAGGGAAAGAATAAATGAACACGCATGGAAGGAAGTTACTGACCCGTCTGTCTGCTACTAGGAAAACGCCTGCTTCAGAACATTGGATTCCAAATGGGAGGCTGGCAGAGCGGCAGAGTGCACGGATGTCACCTTGCCTGCACCCCCCAGATGGTGAGTCTTGGTAGGGGGCAGACTGACTGGGAACTTGCTCATGAAGCCATGTCGATCAAGTGAGAAGAACGATAGATGCCCCTTTCACATGGGCAACGTGAGGACAGGAACAGAGGTCATGGCTTAGACGTGGGGAAACTTAGCAGGCATCATTTCATTCTCCCCTGCAATTTTCATTTTAAAGAGCAAACTGCCGAGGTTCCGAAAGGAAGTGGAACACTCATGAGGTCACACGGTCAAGAACCGACAGAATCACGCCTTTATCCCCGGGCAGTCTTGAATCCAGTTCTGTTCCTCTGTCTTTGCTAATCAGAGCCCTGGTGCCACCGTGGTTACTCATTGGGCTGGTAACTACAAAGTCAGCAGTTTGAAACCACCAGCTGCTCTGCTGGCGAAAGATGAGGCTTTCTACTCCCATCAAGAGTTACAGCTCACAGGGGAGGTCTACCCTGTCCTACAGGGTCTCTTCAGGTTGGAATTGACTCGATGACACAGAGGCCATTAGACTTTTATTTTGGGCTAGTCAATGAACTAAAATTAGTTATACGTATCTTTTGACGATAAAGCCTTGAAACGAACTCAATGGAGACAACCCACACTTTCCTGGCTATAACCTCTTGGCCTTCCTCCCTTGAGCCAGCCTCAGAAGGTAACGCTCTGGCTGTCACCATGAGAAATATTTCATGTTTTAATTTTGAGACAAGTTTAAAAACTCCTCGGTTCTCAGCTGGACTCTTGGCAGCCCTGTAAACAACAGAACAGCATCTTCGTGATCATGGCTGTGTGTGTCTTACCGGGGCCGCCGTATCTAACCAAAGTGACTGAACTTTGATGCAAATAATGCACACAGTATATGGATTTTGCCAGCCACATGCCCACTCACGTGTAAGCTTCCTGCGGGTACTATGCATGTTATAGGTGAGTGTACAAGATTTATATGGGCGTACTGTTCCCCCAAATCTGGTACTCTAGGTAAGAGATGCATTTTGCACATGCCTTCCTAGCTTTCTATGCACACACACGTGTGAGGTGCTAGGCATGCCATGTGCATCTTGCCACACATGGCATTCAGATGTCAATTTCAAATATTCCATGGGACTTTTAACTGTGCTTTATTTATTTGTACTTATTTTGATCAAAGGAGTTTTCACAGTCCAGTAGTCACTTGAGTTTGTTTCCTTGATTAAAAAAAAAAAAGCTTATGATCGTCAAATCAATTTGCATATATATGATTAGCTGGGATTAGTTTTCCTCAGGGAATGATAATAAGATGCTGAAGTGAGAAAGGATAATGAAGAACTTGATGAAATATTCCCTGTTTCTAGTGAACCTACATGAGGGTAATTATGTTTTTCACAAAAGTTTTGATTGAGGCTCACGTGGGCGCGTGAGTGAAACTTTGTTCTCCCTCTTGGGGCATGTTGGTTTTTCAACAAGTCTGCACTCTTACTTCTCAAGGAACCAGGCTCAGCCCAGCCCTTTGGAATCGTCAGAATAGGAGCTCATCCTCAAACGGAGTAATTGTGTGCCAGGCACTGTGAGTAATCGAATCCTCCGGGCACCCTAGGACACCCATCGTACCGCTCTCTCTGACTCAGAGAGGAGGGCATGCAGGGAACGTGAGTGTACTGACAGTAGCAGGATTTCAACCCAAGTTGTTTGGCTCCACGGTTGGGACTCCTTATCAATATTTGGTATTGATTAAGGCATAGCGTCATCTATATAGTATGGGTTACTTGGAACTGAATTATACAAAGAGCAGAATATTGAATGAATATAACATTTGCATGTCGACTGCAAGTATATGTTGGCAGAATGAGTGATTTTTTTAATCTGCTAACACTCTCTTTTCCATGGACTTTAGCCGCTGGTAATAAAGGGGTATCTATAAAAAGAAATTCTGAAGAAAGTGTTCTAAAATTGATGGTGGTAATGACCGTACACCTCCTTGATATGGTTGAACTATTGAATTGTGTGATATGTGGATTAAGGGCCAATAATACTGTTGAGAGAAAAAGAAAAGAAATTCCGGAAGCTTTCCTTTTGTTCCTAAGACTACTTACTCAAGGTATCAAAAAAAAATAAAAAATAAAATAACAATAAGCAGCATGGTCCCAAAGTCTCAGAAATAACAGATCTGATGAATGAGAAGTAGAAATCTCACTTTGTTAAAAGAGAAAGAAAGCCATCTTTGTATGTTTCCAGTCTTATAGTTCTTCGATACCTCCGCTAATAAAGAAGATCCAGCTCCTTCCCTCGGTCTCCCGGGAGTTTCCTAAACGACTGCACTAACATAGGGGGAAACATAAGAGAGGGTGGGGTGGGAGGGCACCAACTGATCAAGAATCTTACCATAGGCACCTTTGATACTGAAAATGAAAATCAATGAAGGTATTAGGGATTGAATTGTGTCTCCCCAAAGAGATGTTGAAGTCCTAACCCCAAACTGTGGGAGTGACCTCATAGGGAAATCGGATCTTGGGAACTGCTATCAGTTAACATGAGATCATCCTGCGGTAAGGAAGATCCAAATCCAAAATGAAGGGTGTCCTTGTAAGAAAAGAGAAACTACCCCAGACTCAGAGGGAAGGCGGTAGAGACCGGGTGATGCCCCTACAAGTCAAGGAGCACCAAGTTTTGCCAACAACCACAAGAGCCTTCAGTGAGCAATGCCCTGCTAGTCTTCCCAGCTATGAAACAATGGAGAGTCGTAAGCAACTCTGTTTACGCTCCTTTGTCCCCGCAGCTCAAGGAAACAAATACACAGCCAGGGATTCTCTTTCCCCCTGAGTTTGTCAAGGGCTCTTGCCCGACCACCTTACCCTTTGACATAGATGTCACTCATTTCCTCTCCCGTGATGCTTTTCTCGTCCAAGACAACGTCCTTGGTGTTCCAGATGACCACGCGCAGGTAGTATCTGAAAGAAACACATGTGGAAGTTACCTTTTCCTCCAGTTCTGCACCAAGCGGCCAGCTTAACAGAGCAGGTGTCCAAAGTAAGTACTCACTTCTTGGCTTTTCGGGGTGTGATGTTGAAAGGCGGCCCCGGCGGCCCCAGACTCTTGGGGAAAACATCCACCCACATCTGAAGTCTTCCCTACATGAGTCAGAAATAAAAGGAGAAATGAAGTTCTATTATGGGTGGTAGAGATGACAATTTTCTTTTGCATTTCTTGGATGCGACGATTTCTTTGGCCTGCTTAATTTCTTAGTCCTCATGGAGGACAAGAGCAAACCGAGACTCATCTTGGGCCTCCTGTGCCCTTGCGTCTGCCCATCGCCTGCTCTCTCTCGGGGAGTTCTGATGGCTGCCTGTGTCCCACCCGAATCCAGCGGGAATCTTCCCCAGTTCATAAAATGAAGGGTTTCAATCACGAACAATCTCTCACACTTGTCTGGGCACACGCAGACATTCCTCTGGCAACAACTTCCAGTTGAACCCCTCGCGTTTCACGACGGTTCTCACGCTGTCTGTCATTCTATCCATCATCACGTTGCCCCCTTGTCGTCTGTGTCCTTCTAGTGACACCCCGGGGCTTCTCTACCTACCCCAAGATGGGACATCAAAATCCTGTAACATGCTAGTTAAGCTTTCAAAATAAAAATGGAGACTACAGCCCTTTCACAGGAGTCCCCAAAGAGAAGCTCAAGCACCGACAAGAATGTCACTGTTCCCCAAAGGCCAGGCTTCCCTGTCACTGGCTCACCGGGGCCTGCACTCAGGTGGGCCATGGGTCCAACGGCACGCCCCTAGGAGACGCTGGTGTTGGGTTCTATGTGAGGGACATGACACTGCTCAGTGACACCAAAATGACTGACATTTCTGTGCAATGTTTCACCAGGAATTTATAATTTTAAAATAAAAATATTCTAGGTAGTTATGACATAACCCCTGCTTCTATGTATCAATGTAACTATAAGGCTAAAGCCAAGTGACTTCTTGGACTCTCGGTCCGAGCTACCGTTGTCACCCAAATACAATGGGGTTTCGAATCACACGGTTTTGTCTGGATGCTGCCAATGGTTTGGGATTTGTGTGCTTTGTTTTTTCTAACAGTTTTATTAGCACTTGATCCACGTCATTCAATTCAACCATATCAAGAAGGCTGTCCAGTTATCACCACATTCAATTCTAGAACATTTTCTTCTTCCTGTACTCATTGTTACTCATGTAATTTCTAATTGTGGCAAAAATATACACCACAAAACACAGTGTGTGTTTTTTATCATTGTTGACTTTGTCAAATTATCTGGTGTTTTAGCTACAGTACTGTGGTGGGTAATACTGGTGAACCGCTGGAAATAACCTTTTTGGGAAGAAAATCATTACAGGAAAAGAAGTGTGAAATGAAGAAACATTACATTTGAGTACTTACTCCTTACCTATTACTCTATGATTCAGACATGACTGGCAACAGACATGACTGAGGATTCTGTCTGGTCTAGGATGGGAGGAGGCCCACGCCATCGGCTCCTGCACAGGACGACACCAACCATAGTGGTGCTCTGGAGGGGAGCAGGCGTCGTGGCGGGGCCTGCCCCGCTCTCTCACTGCCACAGACCAGCCCCATCCATCTGACTGGACTGCTCTTAAGACAGCTTAGGAATGCCATTAAAAAGCTATATCAACTATGTGGACCAATTTATGTTCCCCAAACTGGTTTTGGATGTTCTTTAGACTCTGTCTTTATGACAAAAACAGACTAGCTTCAAGAAGGTTGCCAAAGAAACCCCTAGACTGGGGAGCTCCTGAAAAGAAATCCGTTCGACTGTGATCTAACTTTCTTCCAAGGAATCTCTTGGTTCCACGGCTCTCCAAGCCATCAAGCATACTGAAGAACCGTGGGCACCCAGTGTCATCTGAGACCGAGCCCCGGTCTGTGTCCAATGATGTGACGGGGGGTTGGTGGAGTCCTAAGGAGAAATCGTTCTTACTGAACTATCTCTGGAGACTCTGTTCCACAGAGGTGTGGGAGGGGAGAGAGGAGGAGAAACGGGCTCTTTGGGAGAAGGAAGGAGGATATGAAATGGAATAGATAGAACATATGGAACAGAAAAAAAGCAAGTGACAAAATAATCTAGAAACCTCGAGCTCCTTGTGGCCATTTTGGGCAGACGTATTTGTCCCCGGTTTGGCAAACATTACTGATCGTGTCCATATGGTCAGTATCTGCAATCTTTACATGGACTAATCTTTTTTAAAAGTGTAATCTCCTAGTGCCTTGCACCAGGACCACTCAACATTCTTATTAAAATCCCTATTCCTGGCTCCACTTCAGAGGTATTGCATGTGCGTTGCTGAGGGCCAGCCTGGGAATCCTCATAACAAGCATCGACGTTGGTGATTTTGTCCGTTGTTCTACCTCGCCGGGCACTCGGACACCTGTGTCCCCTCTTGTGGGTTTTGACCTGTGTGCACTGTGGCCCTGCTTCTCTCGCTCTTTAGGGTCAGATGAAATCTTCGCACCCAAGGGAGCCAGACCCTGTCCTCTCGACTACAGCGGAGTGGTCCAGTGGAGGGCAATGGAGCCTTGTAAGGCCAACCAGACCCACCCATGTTTGGAGGTCAAGGGCATATATTTTAACTGTCCTTCCTCTTCTGATGCATGGGAAGGTGACCTTAGCACAAGAGCAGACTGAAATATAAAGGGGCTTCAGAAAAGTTCATGTACAAAATGGAGTGAAAGAGAATGGGATTTTTTTGCAGGAACTTTTTTGAACTATACTCATATATTCACAGAGACCTTGATTCAAGTTCCTTCTACCACACAGACACTCTCCTCTCTGGACTTTGTGAGTTAACCTGATGTGTATGTGTGTGTGTAGATATACGTTTACAATCCATCCTCCTTTGTGCTGAAGCTAATTTGAGTTGTGTTTCCACACCGAGCAAGCAGAAGTACCCAGGTGAAATCAAAGCGGCAAATCGTGTCAGCGATTGCTGTGGCCCCGGGGGAACCAAAGCTGGGTCTCCAGACGTGGAGCGCCACTTTACCTGCGAGATACTGGGCTGGAAGGTGCTGTGTAGAGTCCTTGTTTCCACGTGTTCCGGGACCAGCCCCTGGGTCCGGAGGATGTGGAGAGCAAGGCGCTCCTCGGGGGCCCCCAGGTGCCGGTGCAGAATTTTGTTGGCTTCTGGAACGGAGGTGGAATGGAAAGGTGTTAACACGGTGGACGTCTGGGGGCTGGCTGGCCGGTTGTTCTGAGCTGGGGAGAGGGACGTCCTGCCTGTGGGATCAACACCAGCTAGCACCACAGGCTTCACCGAGGAGACGCAGGGCCAGCCACCACATTAGGGGTGAGTTAACGACAAGGCTCGTCGTCGTTTTTAAGTTGAGAATTTTGTACAGCGGTTGAGTGATATCATAAAGATCCAAATGGCTCCGGGCAGAGAAAGGTTTTGCCACCCCCATGGTAGCACTTCCTCCCAGACTTTGCAAAGAGAACAGGCAAGGGCAATGTGCAAACTCCTGACTCAGAAAGGAGCGGATAGCAATGGTTCCTGGCGAGCGGCCCTTGCCCCATTCGGGCTCACCCCCAACTTCTGGGATGCCAATAACAAAGAGACCATGATATGCCCAGCATTTAAGTCAGTCCTGCCTGTACCGACTTCAAGGGGGCAGCTAGACTCTGTTTCCAGCCTCCCCTGTAGTTGGCTTGGCCCTGTGACCAAGTTCATCTTGAGGGGTGTCATTTCCATGCCAGGCCCATCCAGCCTTGCAGTAGAATCCTCTCTGCACCTTTCTCTCCTGCCTCCTTCCTGCGGAAGAGCTCAGTAACCTAGGGAGTCTGAGCTGGAGAATGGCAGAACTCTAAGATAGACAAGTCTGAGCTGAAGAATGGCAGAACTCTAAGAGAGAAGAGCTGCCTGGAGGAGGCCCCGGGCTGGGGGATGACTTGCTTTGAATGTGTGAGAAATAAAGGTATAGTGTTAAGTCATTGAAACTGGTTTCAGAGACTGGCTGAATGACTGGCATTTTTAGGCCACAGCTCCCACATGCTCAGACTCCTCCCCTGGAGACATGGGATCTGCACCCTCTCCCTTTGACTCTGGGGACACATTTGATCGAGAAAGCCCTGTCGTCGTGTAGCTAGCTGTCTGTGTGTTGAGGTGGCTTGTTTTATCAATTACTGCTGGAGAGAGGATAAGACCCAGGCTCTGACCTGCACCAGAGGTGAGCCCAGCAGGCTCTCTGAACCACCCCCGACCTTTGGAAGCCTTTGCAGAGAAGGGCTGGAGTCATGAAGGACTCAATGTGGAAGGGAAAGTCTTGCCTCCCCTATGAACAGTTCTGAGTTAATTATACAATACCCAGGTATTGTAATGAACTCCTAAATGAGTTCATTAAGAGTACTTTGTGTTCAAAGCTTAAATGCCTCTGACCCAAAAAGGTCAAGCAAAATAGAAGACAGGAAAATGTGTCCACTCTGACACTTGACAAGACAGCTGAACTCTACTATAATGTGGCTTTTGTTAGATAGAGTCATGAGTACAGAGTCTCATCGAATATAATTAGGGTAGTGGGCCTGTCCACCCCCTCCGAAAACAATCTCAGTATTAGAAATGGGCTTCAATGCTCTGTCTTGGGAGAAATACAGCCCGAATGCTCATTGGAAACGTGGATAGTGAGACTTCACCTCACCTTCTTTGAACGTAGTGTTGGGACGGACCAGTCCCTGGAGAAGGATATCGGTGCTAGGTCAGGTGGAGGGTCTGAGATGAGGAAGACCCTCCGTGACAGGGATTGATTCAGTGTTCACAACAAGAAGCTCAAACATGGTAGCGGCTGTGAGGCCGTTCTGTCACTGAGAGCCAGACAGCCTGGATGGCACCCAACACCACCACCACCACCAACAACAACATGCTGTGTAGCCACCTTGTAAACATGGCAAGATACTCACCAAATTCATCTAAGCTGTAATCTCGTCCTCCATATCTGATTCTACTTCCATCTTCAGAAAGGACGGGTGGGGGGAAGCCTTTGAATCTGGCTACATTTTGAAGTAACTGTGTTGGTTTCAACTGATCTCGCCAGGTGTTAACTCCAGAACTGCGAATAACATCACATATCCCAGAGTTACTGCTGAATACACAAGGTCTCTGGAAAACACACACACACACACACACACACACACACACTCCTTTATAACAAGGGGGCAGGGAATGCGATCTACATTTTGACATTTGCCTAGAAATCCATTTCTGAATCCTAAGATCTACACCTTACTTGGTCTCAGCCAATTTTTCAAATTTTGGGTCCTCAATCTCCTCCTCTGTCCAAATAAAGAATTCACCTGGGAAAAGCTTGAAGGTAAACAAGCGGCCATCTAGCTCAGAAGCAACAAAGCCCACATGGAACAACATATCAACCTGTGTGATCACG